CCCCCCCCCCCCAATTAATAAAATAAATGATTATTCACTCTCGCATTATTAAAAATATAAATTATCATACAAATTTAATTTTAATAGATTCAATTTGAAACACATATTTTCTCTTTTAAAATATAGAATACTCTAAAGTTATGATGGGTGTTGCTAAATCCATTCCTCTTTTGCTATACCTACTCTATTTGTGACGAATGTCCAATTTTATCCTTAAGTTAACTCGTATGTTGTTTTTCCTTGGTTTTACATTTTAAGGATAAACTTGTCACTTTTTAACAAATAGGGTGGATATAATAAAAGGATGATTGGATTTAGCAACACCCTATTAACCCTTTTAAAGTCCATATGTGTGTGTGTGTATAATTTTGTAAATAAAGATATTAATGATCAAAATATTAAATTGTAGATCGTGAAAAAATAAATAGAAAGAAAATTTTTAGATGAAGAGAGTAATATAGAAATGATCTGAGTCAAATCATTTATTTTAGCCACAATGTTTCAGTTTTATCTTAATTAAAGACAAATACACTATAATCCTCAATTTTGTTTTTGGATAAACTTTTTTTTCTCTAGCTAAACATAATAAAAAAAGTAAAAAGAGTGAAACTAAAGGACAACAAAGAAAAAGGAGCATGATTGTAGCAACAACGTACAAAACATTGCTCCATGGAAAAGGACACCGGCCATGCCCTTTGGTTGCTAAATTAGATAGCATAACCACAATGGCCACTTCCCCACGTTGTTGATTGGTCCATCACCATGTCCATGCTAAAAAGAAACCTTGTTTGATGATGATGATGGCGATGATTATGGTGGTCATCATGGTGGGGCGGCGGCGGTGGCGGAGAAACATCATCCTCCTCTGAGGAAGTGATGCCACTGCCGCCGCCGTTAGACATGGCTTGTCGCATTCTCAAGTGCACCACCTCCGCTTGCGATATCGCGAGCTGTGTTCGGAGGGTGTCGATTTGTTGCTGGAGTGACGATATTGCCCCCACGCAACCGTAGACCGGATCTCTTACCCTCGCGTTTGCCTCGTACACCATTGAGCTCACCGCGTCTCCTCGTTGGTGCTCGGGTAAGTCCTAATAAAAATTTATTTTTTTCAGTCAAATTGGATTACTTCGATTTATTCATTTAATAATGCATTTAATATATAAAAAAATAGGAAGATTTACTTCTTTCGTTCCTGAGTATTATCAACTATTAACTTTTTTGACCAAAATTAGCAAAGTTTGACCTCAAGTTAAATAAAAGTGATACTCCCTCCGCCCGACAATTCATTTCAACTTTCTTATCTTACTCGTCCTATAAAACATTTCAATTTCTTCAAAATGGACAAAAGTCCCCCTCTTTAACCATACTTTCTCATATCTCATCTGTCACATCGCATCTTACTTTTTGTTTTTTAATTGCTCCTTTCCATTTATTTTTACCTATTCGTCAATGTGAAACATCACTTTTAAAAATGCAACGTAATTTTTATTAATGAGTAATTTTTATTTAAATAAAAAAATCAAATATATATGATGGATATTCTTAAAAGATATTACATACTTGTATGACCTAAAGATGTTTTGAGTTTGACTTTCACAAAACTTTTAAAAAATATTACAAAATGAAAATATGTAGTAAACAGAATTATGTGAAAGAATAATTTAAATATTTATGGTAAAAAAAAGAAATCATCTTGGATATGAGTAAAAAAGTATGAAAATACCAAAATAGGAGTCATAAGTCTTTTAAGACCAAAATATGAGTATAATGACAGTGTGGTGTAAAAGTACGCGTTGACAGTGTAATTGAAAAGTGATGACAATATAATACGGAGTATGTCAGTCTAATCAGTCAATTGTTGGCAATCGTGGTGGTACTCTAGTGGTCGGCGGCAACGAATAGTAATGTGGTGGTGATAGTATAGCAATTATAATGTGACAATGTGGTGAGTATAGCAGCATAATAATGGTAATGCGAATTTCTATTTTGGGCTTAAAAGACATATGACTCTTATATTAGTATTTTCATGATTTTTTACTCCTATCTAGGTAGTTTTCTCATAAAAAGTGTCTTGCTCCTCCAAAAAAAAGCCTTGCAATTAGTAGGTAAAACTAGTTTTACCCAATTACCCAATAAATTTTAAGTATCCCTTGTTGATTATGTGCTTCAATTTTATTTGACTTTCTTGGTAAGTTTGAAAATTTAATCTCGATATACTAAAAAATCACATTGTAAATTGTATTTCGATATAAATGTATTATCAATTGTTTCTCTTTATAACTTAATTTTGAAATAAAAAATATTTAACTTTTTATAAAATATATATGTATAAACGTTGATGTTTATGGTGAAAAATTGCATTGAAAACCGTGAAAAACCAAATTAAATGAGATTAAATCTATATGGACGGATTGAAATTTAGTCATTAAAATGATCACATTATTTTGAGTTGAAGAATTGAATATTAAAAAATGAAATTTTATGTGAAGTATTAAATATTTTCTAGTTTGGTATGAAATTAAGAAAAAATTGAAAATGCACACTTTAACCGAAAATTACTTTGGGGTACCTTCGGTTTTTTGGTATTAACTCTCAGGTCCCATATTATCTGAAATATATGCTAGGATAGCCTCGATTTTTTGGCAAAAACACTCAAGTCCAACTTTATTCGAAATATATACTTCGGAGGTTCTTAAAATTTGTTGTAATGTACTCCAAGGGTACATTTTATCTATTTAGCTCTTAAGATTGGAAGTTTCGTTAGTTTGACAAATGCTAAATTTTTTCTTAAAATTATTATTTTATTAAAATCAAATAAAATCCTTTAATTTCTAAAGCAAATGAACTTTCAATCCTAACGCCTAAATGGACGGAATGTACCATCGAAGTATAATATGGAGTATCAAACATTTTTAAAGACCTTGAAGCATATTTCAATTAATGTGAGACCTGATGGTTCTTACTAGAAAAGTGTGGGTACCCAAGAGTATTTTTCAGAAATTGCGGACTCGAGAATTTTTTCCAAAAAATTGAGTACACCTAGATTAATTTTCTGCATACTTTATACTTAAAATTTGTTTAGAAAAAATGATTTTTTTAACAGATTAAAAAAGAAAGATTGAATTTTTTAGCATGAGGAAGTAAATTATTTGTGCTGCTAGTAATAAATCCAAAACATTGCACGGAGTATAGTAGAAGAATATTCTACACGTATTTGAAATAGTGCAAGATCTCTACATCTATATGGTGTGACATGCCTAACTGACTCAGATACTAGTGTTTGTTAAAAATTAATTTTGGGAAGGTACAAAAATAAATCATTCTTCAGTGATCCTTCGGTCGGATCTGAAGGGGTCCTCGGGAATGAGACTCTTCTTGTTTTTTTCAATTCAATTCATGTCCTTAAGACTCTCTTTGGTAAATAGGATTTAAACTATCTATGAAATTGAAATTTGAGACAAAAATTCTAATTCTGCTATTTGGTAGTACAAAAATATGTGGATTTGGAATTGGTAATGCCAAAAATAAATTGAAATTGGTGAATTCAATTCCATCCATATCAATTTCATAAAATATGAACTTCTGATTTAATTTCAATTTCATCAATTTCGTGTACCAAATGGAACCTAAGAGTATTTCCTCTATCGATTATAATATTTGAATAGATTTTTATAATACAATTTTTATATATATTTTTTTAAATTAGAAGTACTCTTAGCCAAATATCATAAACTAAACTATATATAAAGTCTTTTTATCATGAACTTTCTCATATGGTGAGTAATAAAATATTTATGCAATTATTAAAAATATCCATTAATTTTTAGATGGACCATAAATACTACTTCATCAGTTCTAAAAAAGAATTCCTAGTTTGTCCAAGTGTAAACATAAAAAAGTATTAAATTATACGAGTAGTTCATTTTCAATTTTGCCCTTGATATGATGGATAAAAATAAGACGCGATATATAGATTATTAAAAAAGTATGATAGATCATAAGTAGGGTATGAAAAAAATAACGGTTAGAGTGATTTTTTAATAAAAAACGGAAGTATTTTGCTCGAAGTAGAAAAAATGAAAGAAGAAGTATTTTTGAGAACGAAGTGGGTATAATTTATTTGAGAATTTATTTTTTATTTGAAATGTCAAGTTCTAAGATCATGAGTCAAATCCCAAATAAAACAAAGTCTTGCGGAGGTTTGCCGTGTTAAGACAGTTTTTCTTTTCCACCATCTTTGACGACTAATTTTGTCCACCAAATTGGTTTAATTACGGAGTATTTGTCTACAGAGTACGAGTATTTAATTTGTTACGTCCAAGACTCGTACGGACATATATATAGCTCCTACTTTACCCCTATGGGAAAATAATATTCTATAAAATGTAAAAAAAACTTTTATTTTATTTTACTTTTTCCCTTAAAAAAATAAAATACTTCCTCCGTTTGAAAAAAGTCTTCCCACTTTGACTATAAGGCAAAATAAGAAAGTGTAAAATTATAGTTGACTTCCAATTTTGTCCCTGATGTGATGGATAAAAGTAAGATGTGATGGATTTATTATTAGAGAAAAAGTATGATGTGATAGGTAGGGTATGAAAAAGTAAGGGTCCGTTTGGTACGCAGAATTCAAGCCACGGAATTGGAATTGGAGACTTTAATTCCAATTCTGATGTTTGGTATGAAAAAAATCTATAGAATTGGAATTTAATTCTAATTCCAAAATTTTCAATTCTACATTTTAAATTCCATACCAGAATAAAAGAATTGGAGTGAATTCCACGGGTCAAATAAAAAAACACGCGGATCTCGGGTCGGATCTTAGATCTAATTTTAGATCTAATTTTACGATCTAAACTCCTGCGCTCTTTCTTGCTTTCTCTCTCGGCTCTCTCATCTCTCTCGGCTCTCTCTCATCTCTCTCGGCTCTCTCATCTTCGATCTCCATGGTAATTCTCTCTCTCTCTCTCTCTCTCTCTCTCTCTGTATCTTTAAATTCGATTCTTTTTTTAGATTTGTTTTTCGAATTGTCAAATCTTTATCAAAGCGATTGTAGTTGTTAGCTAGGGTTTTAATGGCTTTTGAATTACTTTACTGCAGAAATTCCGTGTTCGAGGTTTATTTTGCTACCAAATATCTGTGTGTTTGAATAATTGATTAAGGACATGGATTCTACTACTAAGGTTGGTACAACTAATTCTGTGTCTTGGATGGTATTTTCCCCTAATTNTCTCTCTCTCTCTCTCTGTATCTTTAAATTCGATTCTTTTTTTAGATTTGTTTTTCGAATTGTCAAATCTTTATCAAAGCGATTGTAGTTGTTAGCTAGGGTTTTAATGGCTTTTGAATTACTTTACTGCAGAAATTCCGTGTTCGAGGTTTATTTTGCTACCAAATATCTGTGTGTTTGAATAATTGATTAAGGACATGGATTCTACTACTAAGGTTGGTACAACTAATTCTGTGTCTTGGATGGTATTTTCCCCTAATTTATGTCTGGTTTTAGATTTTAATGCATTTAATTTGTGGTGTGAAAAGTCTATGTTTTATAAATTTGATGCATATTGCTTTGTTTGCTGAATCTCTGGAATAGATGACTAGGGATATGTACATTTGATTGATTATTGCTTTGATGCACATTGCTTTGGTTTTGCAAGTACCCTGTTTTCTTTAATGTAGCATTTTTTTTCTTTTTAGTGCATGGATATCCATGTTTCTCACTCTGATGAAGAAAGTGAAGAAGATAGTTCTTCCAGTAAGATATTTACTGCTCTTCATGTTATGAATTTTGCTACATTAGTTGGTCAATGGAATGAACAAAGCTTGGTGAAAGAACCCAGTCTTGACTTTGGCTTAGCGCGAGAATTATATATTAGGCGGCTCTATTATGGAAGTGACCAGAGTTGTAAGGATCAACTCAGGCTGAATAAGCATTGCTTTTCTGTGTTATGTTCGAAGTTAAAAGAGTTGGGATTGAAAAACTCAAAAAATATCACGGTTGAAGAAGTAGTTTCCATGTTTTTATATGTACTCTCTTTCAATTTAACAAACCGTAAAGTCGGTTTTGATTTCATAAGATCTGGAGAGA